CAGATTCGTCCATGTTAAACACCTGGTTGTCACTGTACTGTCCTTCCTCCATAGTCTCACGTAAAAACGGAGGAAATTCCCTAGCCGCAGCACGGTCAGCACTCGCTTCTTCACCACCAATGTTTATATTGGTGATCTTGTTCCGGATCTTAAACCTCTGTAACCACCCAGAGGAAGCATTAAAGGGTTTGGGCTCTGTAATTCCCATCTTTCGTGCCACTGCCATGTACAGTTCACGTGCGTAGTCCTTAACAGAGCGCTTGTCGACCGCCATGTTCCGTCGCGCCTGACGCACCAAGTACCTCACAAGTAATTTTTCTGTCTTGAGAAGCACCTGGTTGTGAAAATACTTGATCATAGAAGCACCTGTAGACTTTGTGATCTTCATGTGCTCCTTTATCTTGGCTGCATCCTTCTTTATTGTTCGAATCGTAGATTCATTCACACCATGCTGGTGCGCCAAATCAACCTGCCTTGTTCCTTTCTCCAACTCTTGGATGATGGTATACTTCACCTAGTAGCTTAAGGAACGTCGTGTCTTCTTTGGTTTAGTGCCGCTGGGTCCAGGTAAGGAAAGGTTTCTCTCTGGGGGTGGTGGTCCGGCGGAAGCCATTTTACTGAACAATGGATGCACGATTACACGGTGTGGCCTTGAGGGATGAAACTGCCGCGGCTAGGTCAAGCGTCGTCTTTCCTCCCTCCCTCCCTCCCTCCCCCGGGTGGACACGTCATAATACTTTAAGCCAATTACAGCTAGCAGCAGAGGGGGGTAGGGATGCATGGCCAATCACAGTCAGATACGTCATATGACGTCAGTGATAACGCAACAAAGACACACACTGCGCAACCTTACCGCGCGGCTTGCCCAAGCGGAGGGAGGAGGGAGAGGCGAGGAGCACAGGCAGGCAGGCAGGCAGGCAGGCGGGCGGGTGGCGGGTGGGGCGAATCTAAAAATAGCGTCGCGCCGGACACTCTCCGCGTAATGGGGTTCACGTACCGCGTAATTTGAGCACGTGAGGTTCTGGCAAGGCACCGCGTTAACGTGGAAACGCGGAATGCGGGATCGCGTAAAGTGAGGGTTAACTGTATTTTATTTGTAATTTGAAACCCATTCCCCAAATATGTAACTGTATATTTTCAGCCTTCTGGCTGCCAAGCTCTTTCAATAAACCGTTAATTATTATTATTATTATTATTAAGAAAGGGGGCTTCATATGCATGAAGCATGATGAAGTAAGGGATCTCACAGCAAATATGTTGAAGGAAATCTGTCGTAATATCAGGGTAGAACCCGCCCTCCTTCCATTATACGGTGAGAATTTCCAACATAGAACTTCAAACACATGCATCGAAGCCCATGTTGACGTCAGTGCTCGAGGATTCTGGACGCGGGGACAGCGAGTCTTCTTCGACATCAGGATTTTTTATCCCATGGCTGCGTGTCACCGTAACTTAGCTCTCGATGCTGCACTCAGGGGAAACGAGAATGACAAGATAAGGGCACACGGGGAGAGAATTGAGAACGTTGATCAAGGAAGCTTCACTCCTCTAGTGTTCAGAACCTCTGGTGGGATGGGACCAAGTGCAAGATGCTTCTACGCCAGACTCGCAGAGGTGATATCCGAACAGAAACAGCAGCCCAGAAGTTATGTTACAGCCTGGATGAGATGTCTACTGTCCTTCTCTCTCTTTTGGTCGGCTTTGCTGTGCCTCAGGGGAACGAGAGCATCGGCCCCAAAGCCGACAACAGTTGCAGATATTGACTATGAGGCAACAGTCACTGAATGTCGCATAGATCTGCGGCTCAACTAACTCAACACAGCTAGGGTGGCAAAGGTATGGCTATTGGGGGAGGCTGAAGGCCATTTAAAAAAAAAAAAAAAAGTAGTAGTAGTAGTAGTATGATATATATATGTGTGTATGTGTGTGTGTGTGTGTGTGTGTGTGTGTGTGTGTGTGTGTGTGGGCCCTTTCACAGTCGATGGCCCCAGGCCCTGCCATGTCTACATCCAGCACTGATGGTAGTTGACACAGAAGTATGGTAGGTAACACAGTGGCATGGTAGGTGATGCAGGTGGCCCAAGTTATATTAATACATTCCGATGTATTGGCCCATCTCATAGACAGAAGTACTTATATTATTAATACATTCCGATGTATTGGCCTGTCTCATAGACAGAAGTACTTATATAAATGTGGGTTAATATTACATTAGTCTTGTATGACTATCACCCCCTGTAATTTTCCACGAGCTATGAGGTGACATGTTCAGAGCATGTGATCGGGTGTGTCCACGGGAAGGCGTGTCACTTAGTGCTAAACTAAGACATAAGTGACCGGCTCCCTGGCCACCTATTGCGGGCAGTAGCTTGATAGCACTCACGAGAAGATGTTATTAGTGACATCCCTGATGCGCTCCATCTTTCCTCGAGGGAAGACGTCTGATATTCTCCGTCCTCCCTGGAGCACCTGGAGGAGGAGTTACCGTATTTTTCGGCTTAAAAGACGCACTGTTTATGACAAAAATATACCTCGAAAATTACCATGCGTCTTCCAGGACACTAGTCGATGAGTTGTAGCAGAGGTTTTTGAAATCAGCCCCTTACAAAGACTGTTACCTCATTACAGTACTTAACAATTACAAGTATTCTCTATACAGTACTATAAAACTATTGATTTAACTAATATTGTTGATATATTGCAAAAAAAAATACCCTTGCTGCTGTGTGGTTTGTTTACAAATGGCATTGGTGCGGCAACGCCATCTATTGAGGAATTGCTAAAGGTTGTCTGCTGGTCTCAAATGCAGGAATGTTTGTTTCTTTATATGTAGGCTCTCACATTTGGACACCTATTTACAGTAGGCTCTCATATTTGGATACCCATTTAGACTGTAAAAACCCCACAAAATTAAAATCTTCCAAATTTAAATACAACTTCGTCACCCAAGTCAAAACACACACACAACAACATTGGCTGTCCTTATGTTTTCAACTTTACTACCACTGGTGGGTAGAATTTTTTTTTTAATTCAGAAACATTAATTACAATATATATGAACAGTAAATAAATGTTGCTTTCATATTCTTATGTAGAGTAATGATGATATGTTTATACATGTGCTCACTTACATACGTTATCTCACTTTTTTTTTACCTTTAATTGTTAGCTACTTCCATTGTTCCATTTATTAACATTAAATAACATTACTTAAAACAACCATACTAATTTTACTACAGCTACAACCAGGGTCTTACTTTCTTCAGTTTTATATGTAGAACCAATCAGTCACTGGTTTTGTAAACAACAAAAACAATGACGTCTTGTCTCCTCATGTGTTTTAATATTCTTCGTATTATTAAATGAATTGTATTGTTCAATTTGCACACATAAACAATAATTCAATCAAAAAGAAATTCAGAAACATTAATTAAAACATATATGAACAGTAAATAAGTGTTGCTTTCATATTCTTATGTAGAGTAATGATATGTTTACACATGTGCTCACTTACATACACGACCTCACTTTTTTTTACCCTTAATTGTTAGCTACTTCCATTGTTCCTTTATTAACATTAAATAACATTACTTAAAACAACCATATTAATTTTTCTACATTAATTTTAATACAGCTACAATGGAGGACTTATTTTCTTCAGTTTTATAATTAAGTAGAACCAATCAGTCACTGGTTTTGCAAAAAATGAGTTGTTTTTTTACTTTTATTTTGTTTTTAAATAAAGATTCTTTGTTTTATATAGACGTTGATATACATGTTTACATTTCCTTACCTTCTACTGTTGGAAAATATTTCCCGTCGTTGTCATACTGACAAAAACAAGAGAAAGAATGCAAACACTACAGCCCCTAAGATGTGGAGGTGACCAGGTGTATAAAATGAGCGCTGTATTAAAGATTTCACCTTCTTATACAGATTTTTTTTTAAATTGATGAAAATGACGACTGATAAGCAGTTCTAAGTGATGATATTCAAAGAGGTGTGTGTACTTGTGCCAAAAGGGCTGTATATCAAGCAACGGTTTCACTGGTGTAGGTAGTAGGCAGCTAATGTACCAAACAAGGAGGTACTACCGTCTGGGAAGATACTGGAAGGATAATGCATTGTCTAATGGTAGACCCTGCTGCAATGTGACCAAGTCCCAGGTTGATGATCTGACTTTCTGTCGAGTCTCAATTGTTTCTCCTACTTTGACAAAACAACGTACATACAGGTATATTGTTTCTCACTCGATATTTTTTTTCATTTTTGTATTTCTTTATTATTATTATTATTATTAGAAGTAGTAGTAGTATTATTACATTTTTGCCCCCTAGGCCCCAATGTGGGTCAGTGACCTGTGCCCAGGTGGGCTAAAACCCATAATTTTTTTTTTTAGAATTTCATTTCCAAAATCAGGGTGTGTCTTCCACGATGCAGCGTCTTCCAAGCCGAAAAATACGGTACTCATCACTCTCAAGAGAAGGACATCTGATATATTCCGTTCTCCCTCGAGCAGTCTCTGCTCACTATCACATCAATCGTACGTATTTAGTAGAGCTAATCTAAGATAGCCTCCGTCCTCATTTAACACTCATAGGTACAGAGATTACGTTACTTGGAACTGCATATAATATATTTTCCTAATAAATGAACAAAAGGACAGTTGGGTTTCATTACTAAAAACCCAATAAACTTTTACATGTTCCAGCTCCATTAACTCATCATGAATCAATGTTAAAGGCGAGAACACTGAGATCATATCCATGCCGAGTTATGTGAAATTCTGAGTTCTCAAATGCTGAGTTATCGAGGGTCTACTGTATACAGTATATTCTATTAACTAACTTTTACCCCAAAATGCCACCCGTAGTCCACTTTTGGGATATGGATCTTAGTCTAATAGGCTTGCTGAAACCATTTATTAATTACCTGAGCCATTGCCTTACTTGTAAAAGGTTGTTAGCTTTCTTATCATTAAGAGATGATGGATAACTCACTTCTTCTCCTTGGTGTACAGCATTTTAGGGAAGTAGTCCATGACAGCAATGTAAATAAACTTCTCTGCCTTATTGATCACATTTATGATAGCATCAATGTCATTGCTCCTCCCCTTTGGACAGAATGGTGGTGGAGAACTCTGAAATTTCAAATTCAATACAATTATGTCAAAAACTACAATGTGTGCAAACTGACCATAGATGTACAGTTTATATTTAAAGGTGTATTAACAACTTTGCTAAAATATGCCATATTGTATTATACTGTATCTACACCCATCAATATTGATGTACTATACTCCATTTTTATCAATACATACAGCCCCAACACTATCAATAATAACTAACATTAATTTCTTGACTTACAGAAAGATAGGTGTTGACCACAGTACCACTGAAGAGCACAGACATTTGGTTCTGAATATCATAGATTGTCTCCAGGGAATGAGGCCAGACAGGTGGTATTTCAGCTCCTTCTTTACCTAGTTCCCAGTAAACCTGGCCACAAAAAAATAAATATTGACATTAAGAAAGAATCATCCTCACCATTTCATGGGTTACCCATGATTACCTGATGGCATGGAGTACTGGTTGCCATCAGGGAAATTTGATGCAAGCTTTACCAAGTGCCCTTTTAACTGGCAAGGCAGGGTCGCTACTCACGAGCTTGACCATCATTGTTTAACCATAAAATTTAGAACATTATAATTCCAGGATATCAAGATGTTCTAACAAATACAAAAATTATTTCTTACAAAAACTATACTGTAAACAGATATCCATATTAACTAATACACAGATGCAGTAAAATGAAACATGGAAATCAAACAAACAGAAATTTAGTAAAATTAAACCAAGGAAAATACGTAGTGCTAATGAGACAAGTTACTTGTGATAAATTATATACAGTCAACCCTCGCTTTACGCGGTCCCACTTTACGCGTTTCCACGTTTACGCGGTACCCTGCCGAACACGGAATGCTCACTTTCCGCGGTGTGTGTACCCTTTAACGCGGAGAGCGGCGCGAGCAGGGTGCGCACAAGGTCGCCCAGTCATCAAAACATTACCGAGTTCTTCACCCGCCACCCACCACAGCCGGCCCAAGTCAGTGATAGTGATAATGGACTTTGGGGGGTTTGACAAAGAGGCCCTGCAAGCCTCTGTGGTGGATAGTGATACAATTGATACAAGTGATACAGGTGAGGGCCAATAATCTGCCCTCTGCCTCGGAACCAACCCCCCAACCCCGTGTGCCCAGCCATCTTTTCTACTAATGTAAGTGTTAAAAAACCTATATTATTGATATTTCTCTTAATTATTAATTGTGTGTGCATACCATCATAAAATTAAGAAGTTGTTTTTACTACAACGTAGGTATTGTGTCTGAAAAAGTGGAGTTTGGGGGTCGGCCCGGTCGCTATTTCAATTAATCCCATATGTTATGTTGTTCACTTTACGCGTTTCTCACTTTACGAGGGCCGCCGTGGGTTCAATTGACCACGTAAAGTGAGGGTTCACTGTACTCAAAAGCAAAAATCTTCAATGTACAAGAAGCAGGCACTGCCCTGAGAGTTACTGTCTGGCACTCCGGGCATCCTCGAACAACCAAGTTGTAAGTGGGTAAGTAGCTTAAGAGTTTTGTGTGTGTGTGTGTGTTTGCACACAGGGTGGTGTAATGCATCGGGTGTAGCAGCATTATGTTAGTGTTAAGGTGCAGGCACTGCTTGCTTCTTCTCACTTTCAGCTACCGCCACTGGCTAGCATGGTGAACAGGGAAGCATCCATGCATAAGTCTTCCCCTGCCAGTAAACAGCCTCTTCACCATCAAGACTTCTGCTGTGCCTCCTTGTGGCTCCAGGCTAGACCAGCAGGGGATCTCGGAGCAGCAGTGGGCTCCAGAAGAATGGCGCATAGGCCCACCGACATGTGGGCATGTCCTGGCACCTACCAACCACTGCCCCGCTGCCTTGCAGATTACTTTTGGTAGGTATACGGCTACAGGAGTAAACCCAGAATGAAAACTCTGTGGTGGAGCCTTGCATCAGGCAAACTTAGTTATACATAGCTCCAGTAAGACCCCACCAGTGGAATAGGCAAAAGAGGTGACCAACATGGGAACCCAATGACTACACCAATGGATGAAGGCAATGCAAGATGGACAGGCTACTAAGGCAAAACCCAACAAACTGGGCTATTGGCAGTCCATTGCAAATCTCCCTCTCCCACTCATTGCAACTACCTGCTCCACTGGATCAGGAAAAGGGAGAGCCAAGAAGTGTGGTTATAGACTGTGTTCCTGCCTCACCACATAAATCAACTCGTGCTCATCATACTTTCCATCATCATCAAACCCCTACACAGTGGTCCCTCGGTTAACGAACACAATTCATTCTACAGAGTCGTTCGTTAACCGAAAACTTTGTTAACTCAATCCATTATTTCAATGGGATATTGGGTAATTGGTTCCAGCTCACAGAAAAGTACATACAAAGTAAAGCCAAAAAATGCATAAAGTCAGAAACACTCCTAAAATTCCCCTAAATCGCCCTTAAATCATTATATATATACGTACAGTGATCCCTCAGTTAACGAGCGCCTCGGTGAACGAGATTTCGGTTAACGAATTACCTTCCATAAGAATCTTAACTTCGGTTAACGAGCATTCTCTCGATTAATGAATTCCTTACGAGCGGCCCCCAACATGTTTTCGCTTGCACACCAGCTGTCGTATTAGTCCGCCAATACAGTAATCGGTTCTAGGGCTTAAATTCCTTATCATTTTAGTAAATATCAAGAAGGTTGTACTATTCAATAATTTTAAAAGTTTTATATTAAATGTTTTAGTCATTTTAACAATTATTGAACATAATTGAAGTACAGGAAACTAGTTTTATGCGCGCCAAACAGCCTGTCAATACACCAATCAGGCGTCAGTCTCTGTGTCTTTCAGTGGAGGTAACATCTTGCTTCAGGCTCTCTTCAACATAAATGTCTTTTTTCTGTGTTTTCAGTCAATTATTGGTCATTTTGAAATTTATTTTACATATTGATATATAGCGCAGTGCAGTGTTAATTTAAAGAAAAATTTATTTTTGTTCAAGCTCTGAATGCTACATCAGCATATGTTACCTAGGTATGTTAATTCCTAGCCAATTCGCCAGGCCAACATACAGGCAATTAAAAATATCTAATAATTACTTAGTAAGTAATATTAGTTACCTGTTACCCCACTATACGTGACCACGACCTCACTTGCCTGGCGCTTCAGCTTAAATGTACACAAAGGAAAGCTCTGTGAATTTGTTCTAATTGCTGAACATCACCCATGAGGATATTATACAGGTAGTCCCTAACTATCACTGCCCTCAACTTACATCCATCGGTACTTACGACGTGTTCTGACTCAATAAGCCGACATAACGATCGCTGAGTCGTGACCAATTTTTTTCAAATGACGAGCGATTTCTACTCGAAACGTTAATGTAGTCTCCATGTATAATTAGAAAATTATGGGGGCAGTATTCAGCTGACTACATTGCAAAGCTTGTCACACTGTATCCATTCCTCATTATTTATTACTTTTACTGTACTGTATCCATTCCCATTATTTATTTATTTTATTTTTTTAATTTTATTTATTTATTTTATCTATGCCGGACTTACAACCTGGATTTGGGTCCTTAACCCTGCCGTAAGCAGGGAGCACTTATACGGTATTTGTACTTTAATAGCACAGTGATGAAGTAGAGTGATTATTTTGTTATGTCTCCTATTTATTGTATTTGGGCATTTTCATATACTGACCTTGGTCAGCATGGTCAAAACACATTTTCCTTGTGAAGTCGTTTTAGATCACAGACTATCCCTGCTTGTCACTCCAGTGAATGTCGCTGTTCTCTCCCCGGGCTCATCTTTTCACTGAAACAGAAATGTGAATAAGTTTAATTATATATACATATATATATTGTTACATGATCTTTGTCCCAATTATTCATGTGCTAGTATGAATGCATGACTGTCTCTCTCCCTACTTTATGTTCATTCACAAACCCCGCTTCCCACCTGCGCTTCTATTTGTTCTCAGCTAAAAGGCCAAAGTTGAGTTTGTCTCTTCATAACTTTATTTTTTGATGTCCTCGCAGAGGGATCAGCTTTTCCAGGCGAACTTACGGTGGCCAAGTGAAGCCTTCGAATGTTGACCTTCTGGTCCTCCTAGCAATCGAGAGTTATGTTGAGACTTTGTACCTTCTATGGGTTATGAGAACAATTCAGGTGGAATTCTCAACCCAATAAATATTGCTAGAGTAATAGCAAATGTTGCTGCCAATAGAGCGCTATGTTAGGCTGCCTCTTAGACTAAACCCTGCCGGGTGATATAATACGGAGGATTTCTTTTAAGTGTTTACTTGGGATAATATCTGTTCTGATTAAAACAAATAAAGATCTTGATCCTCTAAAAAAATGTTATCATGAAATCATTTTATAAAAACAAAAATGAATAAATAAGTTTCATTGAGCTAAGATACTTGATAAAAGAGTCAGGAGGAGATTTAATTAGTAGTATTTGTTTATATTTGTCATATGAGTGACTTGTATAACAAGAGAACTATAATGAATTAACTATAATAACTATAACATTATGAGTCATATTGATTAAGTCTGGGAGGAAATGCTTTCTCCCTATACATATTATTTTGTTTTTATAATGACGTGACCCATGATATCTCCCCAGATGAGTGATGTACAACTGGAGAAATGTCGGAGTCCGGCCGGATGATGGAGGAGACTATGGAACTGTCCCTGGAGGAGGTATTGAGTGATGAGCCACAGGACTAGAAGTTCAGCAGGGCACTATTCAAGGAATTAGTCTGTCAGTAGAGAATTTGAATTCAGTAGTATTTCACCCAAGACCCAAGGGGGCCACTACATGTAATTATAAAAATGTAGTATTGGATTACTAAGATAGATCCTGTGGCTTGCATAATTCATGGCAGCTGTGTCCAAATAATATTTTCACCAATGATTGTGCAGTTTGTTATGATCAAATTTTTTCAATTTCTCTACCGGTGATAAAGATTTTGCAAATACAAATTAAAATAGGTGAATAAGGCCTAGTTGAATGTACAACAATGGAAGGATCCAGTTAAGTAGGGTTTATTGTGTTAGTAAAGACTTAATCCCCACTTAAACAAGACAAGCTTCTGCTAAGAAAAACAAGCTATTCCTCCAGACAGGGCAGTAGGAAGTCCACAAAAACCCCAATCTACTCAATCTGAATTAAGTGGATTCCAGGATCAGGACGATGAGGCTGGTTCTATAGTCTTGAGCAGGAAGAACCTGTTGAGACTGACTTCATCCCCATCCACATCTTGGCAAACCACTTCCACCTGGGCAAAAGTAATGATTACTATGAGGAAACAGGCTGCTGCTTCCACTCATGCAGCTGCTGGATAATATTGAGTGTAAGGGTGATCAGTGCCATGGATAACATTGGTAA